AAACAACGAATTCAACGAATTGTTCTGGCCACTCTATGAACATGTAACGTACAAAAGTGTGAAGATCACAGATTCACGGTTTATCCAAAATACTTGTTAGTACAGTAGAACCTTGATAGCAAGACAAGATAGGGATTATTAAATAAGACTTGATTTCAAGGTTAACTTCTTATCAAGGTTTGCAATAACGTGTGATTAGGGGTAAAATAAGTTCTTGGGGATTTAAAAATGACACTTGTCATCGAGGGTCCTGTTACCTACTTTAGTGACACCGTTTATTGTGCATACTGCGGGTATATTATAGTAGTAGCCATTTTTTTAACTTTACAATAGTTTAGACGAATTACCCTCTAATTAAGTGTACTAGTATTCAAGTTATAATTTCTCTTTGATTTATCATATTACGATAGTTGATGAACGTTGATGCATGACATTATTTTACAACAGAGCATTCTGTCTTTTTTTAACTACAACCATAGATAAAAGGAGTTTTGATGTGAGAATGGAACGCCCTGGCATGTGCGTGATTAAAAAAATACCGTACTTTACAGCTTTGACAGTCTGCTGACGTTAAACCGCTTGGTTTTGGTACCAACATGTAACAATCACTTCAAAATCTTTAGTTTTCAGGATGAAAAATGGCTTCACCGGTGAACCATTGTTGCGGTCAGTTATATACTCAACGAATGACTTATAATTAATTAGCAACAATTAAATTACTCAAGGAAGTACGCCCTAGCGTTAAAGTCTTACAGTAACGTTGGATGCATACATAATGGCTTTTATTAAGCCTGCAAAAAGATAAAAACCAATTTTGAAGCTTTCTGCGGAGTGAAACGTTCACGAGTCTTAAATACATTAAAACCCCCTGGTCAGCAGTTTTGTTTCTTAATACTTGGTATTTTTGCCATGGCTTGTTCAGCACAGCATCCATGGGGGCTATATTGGAAGTGTTTGGCTTGAATTGAAAAATAATAAAATTCTGTACGAAATTATACCAAAACCACGTACTAATGAGTAAGCCAGCTAATCCTCTAAGGAACTGGCAATTTTGTTAGGACTTTTTTTACGACCAGTGAAAAGTCATTTATTTTATACAATCGTTTTCTTTCCACACTGTCTGTCTGTATTTATTAAGCGATTGCCCCTCAAGCGCAAGCTATTAACGTTAACCGCAGGAAAGTAGAGAGCCAACCATAAGTTTCACTAGGACGTCCATCGCATTACCGGGTAATTACTAATTTAAAGAACACTTATCACAGTAATTAACACAACCGCCGGCTGAGAACCGATCTCACTACAGTTGAGTTTAAATTAGTTTGTGTCCTACACTTGGAGTTGAACTTGGAAATAATTTGTGACGGTTTAAAATATATTCGACGTGTTATTGATAATATGAAATTATGTTAAAAGATGGCAACAATAGTTTGAATGCAATAGTTCAACTCGACTTTCAAAGGAACATAGAATTAAAAAAATCAATTACCAAAAATAATTTATATAACTCGGTGAGGAGGTGTTGCATGATCAAATTTGCAACTCTAATAGGCTAATAGTTGCTCATGGATTCCCAAAAAGGTGAGGGTACCGAAAAATGAAAAGTGTTATAGTATACGGTATAAATGATAATTTTATTCGAAACTACGTATGGAAAACGTCATTGGACATGTTTCATTCCAAATGTATTACAATAGTAAACGTAGTCCATTTATCCTCAATTTATACCGCATATATAAACTGTCGTTGTAATTTAGTCTTGTCTACTACTAATGCGATTAAATGTCGTATCGTGGCAGAAAAACTAATTTTTAATGATCAGATATTTTTTTTGGAAAGCCATAAGAGCAATTTTTATCCAGAAAAACACCGCAAACGGCGCAAAAATGGTATGTATTATCTTCACAACTCCCACATTTGCCACACTGTTTATATCGTTGGCCAACCTAAACACTCAACATCTAAAATAACATTGTCATTACAATAGTCATCAAATTGTACAATAGCCTTCCCTTTCCCTTAGATTTGGAATCAACTCAAACCAAGTTTAAATTATTCCTAATAAAGCATCTAATAAATATATTTTATTACAGCTTCCAAGAGTTTTTGGACCAAAATAGCTGGAATATGGTAAACCCTGAAATGTGCATATTTGAGTAAGTTGTAAGTTACCTTTGTATCCTATACCTTGCCTTAGAACTGTTAAAAAAGTATGGTATTGATTTTGTATTTTTATGACATAGCTAAATGCAATTTAATGCTTTGGCTGAATAAAAATTAATTACCGTATTGGTTTCGATTTGATATGGCAAAAATATGTTAATAGCAAATAAATACAAAATTGGTTCGAAAATGCTACTGGTTCTGTCAAAGGCATTCATACGACAAATATTATATCACGTCTATTTAAATATAAACTACAAATTAATCACGTGGAATAGGCCTAAAATGTGCTTACAGAACAAATAGATTTATTACGCATAAGACCTACTGTAAAGTGTAAACCTTTTACGTTACAAGTCTGTTACACTATGACCTTCACACATACAATAAAAAATAAAACACAAACCACAACACACAAAAAAATAAAATCACCACAAAACAACGGACGGAATGATCAAATAACCGGACGGCATCGCACGTCGCACTGAGGCGTGGTTGGCGACGACACCGCTAGGAGCGCCACCGGCGGGGAATAACATAACCTCGCTTCAACGATCCGGTCAAAATAACCAACCGGTTTTCGCAATTAGAATTAAAACGAGTGTCATCAAAACACGGAACCGCTAGGTGAGGTACTCGCGCCACCTGTCGTGATTCCAGCAAACCGATCCCCCGTAGTTCGTGGTCGAGCCGTGTAGGAGCGCTAGTGTCGCGGGAGTACTTATCACATTGATCCGCGAAAAGTGCACCGCCCTGACGAGGCCTACGACAATATTTTCTGAGTGGATTAAGGAACGCAAACATCGTGCGTGACGGGAAAGAAAATTGGGTTACGGTTAAAGTATAGGGGTACGTTAAATCAGTTTTGTAAATTACAGACATTTGCTAAATATAATCAAGATAATGATGAAAAAGTCGTAGCTTTCACTGTGTGAACTAATAATCATAAATAAAAGGAGTATGGCCAGTATACTTCTTTTAATCTATGGTTAAATGTTGTATCTTATTACGTTTACAATCCTATTGCAATACGCCTACTACTTTGTTTCGAAGAAACAGGCCTTTAGAAATAAATTTTAGGTTGGTTGCTTTTTTTACCACTCGTTGGTCACGAGTTGCAAAAAATCATCAGTCATCTTGAGTTTTTTAACTACCTAAATGTAAATATGACAAGTTTGTTGAATGCACCGATGAGGGGTGGGGGTAGGTAAATTTAATTTTTGATTTTTTTTATGTCGTTTAAACTACCTATTACCATGTAGATCACTAACACACATTATTTATCTATAGGCTATGCATACTTCACAGATTTCTATGACAGAAAACGTTATTAAAACTATATATATAAAAATTTGTGAAAAACTTTTCTCAACTAGTCGAAACACAAATGGTTTTTACATCAAAATAAGTGTACGGTTTTCAACTTTTATAGGATTTCCGTTTTGCACTACTCTATATACAGGGCGCCGCGCGATTGTATCACGGCAACACATGTGCAGCTATGTAGCCTTATTGCATTGCTAGTAATGAAGGCGTTACAGAATCGTCATCAAATATTGGAAAAACACATTGTAGATGACGGACTAACAGTATACTGTATATTGCTCTAGTAAAATTATATTTTATTTGAAATAGCCTTTTATTTTAGTGCAAAATATAAAATATTAATTAATAACTATATGTTACGTATTTGCACATCTAGGTAAAAATACAATTTGACACCTCAAACGTTAAAATCCGTCAAGCCGTTATCGAGTTATGACTGTGAAAAGGATCATACTGTAGTTGTCAAATGTTAAAGAAAATGTGCCGAAAGGACAATATTCTCATAAAATGCGCATAGAAACATAACGCAACGAAAGAGTATGCAAGTTATTGCAATTTGTTTACATCCAATCACACCTTAAAATATACGAAAAAAATTGTTTGGATAACTTTTTTAAAGAGATTGATTCGGAAATTCACTACACTTTGAGAAGTTTAAAACAGGCTTAAAACCGCTTAGGAACACCTCAAGGGAACCATCTGGAAAAGTTTAGCAGACTCCGTCTAGATCAATGAAAACCCCGTCATGGCGCCACCCCCCCCCCCCCCACCTGTGTCAACCACCCCTGAGATCACAGCCTCATCATCTACAGGCCATAACTTACCACCTTATCCACTAATTCAACCCGTCTAGCCTGTGTTACGGCTGTTAGTTATCGTTATTTGTGTTTCTGGTTATAAAAAGATTCGATTTCATTAATCTAGATAACATCTTAGGAAAACTGCACGTTTAGTTATAATTACTGTACCTCCAAAACCCTCCATCATCGAAATCCAAAAATTGAGTTGTTAAAAGTGGTAAATATTACTAGGTAGGCCTAAGTGCAAGATTAGAGATATTTTACAACACTAAAGATATGAAAATCTAGAAATGTTTTTTGATATTGTGTTATTATCCTGGGTCCATTAACCTGGTCGAAGTTGGGGAGAAATACCGTGTTCAAATCCCGCCAATCACCAATGCTATGTAATAATCCCACGACTCGCTGAGCCTAACCTCAATGTGTAATGTGTAACACAATGGTAAAACGGTACCGGGGTATAATGTACAGCTTCATAATATGTGGAGGTAAAAAAATACTCAAGGTAATTACAAAATCCATCCTGACCCCCCAGCATTCTGGCCATAGCCCAAAACACCACGACAAGAAACTGTTGGAAAAGGATATAGGCCTACAACAAGTCATCTTGTAATATTGTGTCAAGTACACTCTAAAACTACTATTACTTTTGACTATTTATAAATTGCCACAGACTGAAGCATCTACAGAATGAGCTAAAGAGCGAGTACTCACTGTGACTCTGAGGTGAGACTTTAGTGAGACTGACGTCACTGAGCGAGCTGTTCCTGGAGCTGTTCTGCGACTGAGTCTGTCCTGGAGGCAGTGAACACTCCGACCCACGGGTGCGGGACCTGCGACTGGAACAACGAGAACATTCAATCACACAGGTTTTAAACTTTGGTAAGAAATGTACAGTGAACTATTTTCTGTACGTGGATGTCTGGCAATATCAGGTTGGTTATTTCGATCCCAAAATCTGGGCAAAACAGCCAATCCAATCAGGGTTACAGAGCTAGATTTGACAATGCAACTACATGACCAATAATGTATTAATGCTACCGCTACCTATAAAAATGCTGTGTTTTATTGTTTTATTCCATTGCATATCAATAATTATGTATAACAACAAACCACCAGGTTTGTCTGTTAGTACAAAACATGTTTGAAAAAGTAACAAACATATTTTTAGTCCATGGAAAAGGTACTTTTGGACAGATCATTGGATTTGGTTGCACCTTATCTGGTAACTGTCCACTACATGATTTTCATGTTTTTTAGCATCTGAATATGAAAACCGTCCAGAAATTACCGTGAGACCTCTCTCATTTACTAGGATGATGAAGCGTTTTGCACCTCCACCATCGAACAAATCATAATGTAATCTACAATACCAGCAAACATTGTGTTGATACATTGACTTTTTTACACCATTGTAGGCATAACTGTCTCTTATACTTTTGTAAAACGCTTAACAAACGAAACATGTTTAAGCCAATTATAATGGGAAAGTTTATTTGATCCACAACTTGATAAATTAAGATCGCTACAGTAACTTATTATTATAATCATTATTACGAACTTTAGAAGTAGGCTACAAACGAGGCGCGAGGTATGTTTAAAATGAGGAGTCAATAAACAACTTTAAAAACTATCAATTTTGTGCCCAATTCGCATACGACTATTTAAATTGGGAAATAGTAAGTCTCGTATGTGACGGCTCAATTTGGCGGGTAATTTTTGGCGGGAGACTCACACTTGTGCCGCCCACGGGGTCGTAACCAGTTGACACTTCCTGGCTACAATCGCATCATCTCGTCAGACTGACAGCCTCTCATTAGCTGCCGCGAACACGAGAGTGACCACTTGTACGACAAACGTCCTTTAGTAACAGTTGATTTTGGAGCTAACGTTGACATTACATGGACCAGAAGGATGACAATTGTTTACTCAACGAAAGTGTTAAATGAGTCATGTTTAGATGATCCCAGCATTTCAATCATTTTTGTAAGGTCAGAGGTTTGTCTATAAACACACTATGAAGTACATATAGGAATACCGGTGGTTAATTTATTTTCCGAACAAATAAATAAATGTGTGTACTGTATCCGTGAACCGACGAATGCGTCTACTTCACACAGTATTCACCAATGAGTGCATTGCAGCACAGTTGAGTGTGGTGACGACAACTATTGTTGTCAGTGATATCATTCTTTATATCGTACGTCAGACCGTAATTTATATAAAAGATACTGCGGTGGACTGCTAGTGCTACTCTATAAAAGTATAATAATGTAGAAAGCTACTTACGATACAACGTATTCAACAAGCAAGCACGAATCTAACATTTATCTCACAAGTCACAACTGTGGATGTTGTTTTGATCATTTTTTTAGTAAACACATGTAAGCTAAACCGAATGTAACAGCTGATGGTGAATATAACATGTTAGCATGAACAGGCTAGACCCAATATAACAGCTGATGGTAAATATAACAGGTTAGCATGAACAGGCTAGACCCAATATAACAGCTGATGGTAAATATAACAGCTGTTCAACAAACATGTGCCTTGGTCGTCATCATGTTTGTCACAGATGGATTTGCTAAGTGCGTTACAGAACCCAGCACGCTATGGGGCCCTCTGAAACTTTTAGGGAAGACAATTGTTCTAATGTGGAATGGCATGTCTCTGCAATGGCAATGCAATTAAATCTGTCCCTACGCCAATGCAGGTTGTAGTATTGACTTTCATTACTGAATAAGACATTGAGTTTATATGGACCAAATATAAACACCTAAAAAATCACATAGTGGTAAATATTTTTCACAAAGTGTTAGCCTTTCTAAAACTTAAAACGGGGACCAAATAAATATCAGACCACTTTTAAATGATTACATAAAACATTTGATATCTATATATCTAATTCCGTAAGCCCAAAATTTTACAATGAAATTGTGAGCGAACGGGAAGACGTAGAAAGCTGGGAGAGGTCTCATTTTAAAGGTCTCGGCATGAAATTTTGGGGAAAAATATTCATTTTTCTTAATTATGCGCCAAAAGGTTGTTACGGAATAAAATAATTCACATTTAAATAACATGGGAATCTAGGTCATGTCTGCTTTGTTTACTTTAAAACACGTGGTTTAACTTTATTTAAAGCATATGATATGTAATATGTACTGTAATATGCATACTATTATAAATTTGAAATAGACGTTTTCCCAATTTTAAGGGTCTGGATTAGATAATGGAGTACGATTGGTTGTGTTAGGTATGTCTGAACAAAGTGTAAAGTTAGAAGTGATTACTGGAGTAGGCAAAGGGAACATATTTTTCCATGCCAAAAAAAAAAACTAATATCTATAGATCCTGATATGCCGTTTAAGTTTACAAGTATTCAATTCCCATTTCGATTAGCTTTCAATATTACTTATTATTAAAGCAACGGACAAAGCCAAACCTTAACAAAACTTGGAATTTTTTTTGAAAAAAAAAACAGTGTTTACCCATGGTCAACTTTATGTTGCTTTTAGCCAGGTAAAGCGGCCAGATGATGTTAAAATAGTACTAGAATCAAATAAAGATGAAGGAATCGACCAAAATGGATACCATACGACAAATGTTGTTTTCAGAGAGATTTTGTTATAAACAAAATTCGATTAGCTTTCAATATTACTTATTATTAAAGCAACGGACAAAGCCAAACCTTAACAAAACTTGGAATTTTTTTTGAAAAAAAAAACAGTGTTTACCCATGGTCAACTTTATGTTGCTTTTAGCCAGGTAAAGCGGCCAGATGATGTTAAAATAGTACTAGAATCAAATAAAGATGAAGGAATCGACCAAAATGGATACCATACGACAAATGTTGTTTTCAGAGAGATTTTGTTATAAACAAAATACAAAATACAACATTTTTCTGTCATTGTAATTAGCATTTTACAATCTGGAGGATGACATTATCTCTATGTGTTTAATCTAAGTGAATTTGTCTATATTCAAAGAGATTTATATATATATATTTGATTAATTGTCATGAAGATTATAATTGAAAATGTTCCTTAGTTGTATTTATGATTAGAAAGTTTTTATAATACCGCATGAACAGTCTTTTGGAACTTTTATTTTAAACAGAGCAGACAACAAAGTGCATTATGCAGGTATGTAATATATTATACATATTATAATATACAAAAATGTTAAACGATAATTCATGTTGACCCAATGGAGATCAACCCAATGGTTCAAGGTTCAACCCATGAGACAGGATATATAATATATATATAGGGGCTATTGCCCCTAAAAGCCACTAGTAGATATGTAAAACTTCATTTCACTTATATTACTGGCTTTGTTTTAGAATTACATCAAAGAGCTCAGCTACATTATTTGCAACTAAAACAACTACAGGTTTCGAGTTTCACTAAGGTTAAATCAATAAATTTATTTTGATAAATAATAAATCAAGCCAATATAAGTTTTTTTGGTTGGTTATAGTTCAACACAAGAACCATTAAATTATTTTTCAATGCCTGAATTAGTTAAACAAAATAATTTTATTAAATTATTTATAGGCGTACAGAATTTTCAAATTACTGTACAACGTAATACCATAATACAAGTAATACCGTAAAATCTAGAAACCTATTTAGCATAACTAGATCTTTAACATTTCGACGACGAGAAATAACATTTAGAGGAACGATAAATAACATTTAGAAGAGCGAAGAGCATTTCTAGCAACGAGAAATTGCATTTCAAAGAAGACGTAAACAATTTACAGGCAAACTCGAAGCTGTTTACAAAGGTCATATGAAAAACCAAACAGCAATAACTTCCTTCCCGCCTTTCTATGTGTAGAGTATGGTTCTATAACCAACCCATTCCATAGCCACACCCGCCACTGTTCAAATATAATACTGTAGCCACTTTAAGAAATAGGTCGCAGATCGATTTTTCTACAAGAAGAGATTCGAGTTGGATTAGTTTAGTTAATTAACTTTGCCCCAGACAACACTCTATTAACTAATTCTTCTCTAACTAAAACCCGATGAGGTTTTATTTTTATTATGAAAACTACTGAAGTTACTTATTGAAATTACTTAGTTGAGTTTATTTAAATTGCTGACGATTGTTTAATTCACAGCGAGTTGAAAATCGGACACTGTCCTACAAAAAACAACTGAAAGACTTTTTTCAGAACTACCTTCTTATTTCTTGATAAAAAGTGGATGATTGATGCCTATCGTTAAAAGTAGTTTTAAAATCTATTTACATAAATTAAAATAACAATTAACTGATTTGGCATACAAGTTACTGTCTCACGAATGGCGTCCCCTCCATCGCATAATTGAAAATTTTCATGCTTGTGAACATTCTAAAAATTAATTGGATTGCATTTTACCAACGCTTAGTTTATTCAAAAACGTGAATACTGTATGTGTTATTAAAGAGGACTAACAATCAAAGCAGTTTCAGCAAAAGGTCGAGGTTATAGATAGGACCAAGCTGTGGTTAAGTCAGTTCTTTTATAATTTATAGGGAATCTGTAAAAAATCTTACATGCTAGGTAAAAATATACTCAAAATGAATCAATTAAATATAGAGTAGGCTAAAGTAAATCACATACTAGGTCCTGTGCTTTCGTCAGCGTTGCTACTGTTTAAAGCTATCCAAACTCATCATAACATAAAATTATCTACCTAATTATTCAAAAAAGTTTATTTACCTCTTTGACTTGAGCGAGGACACGTCTCTGAGGGAGCGGGTGGACACAGACTGGGCGTTGGACAGACTCCTGGTGCTCAGCTTCCTCGAGGGCTGTTGGGGCCCGGGGGCCCTGGTCGTCACTACGGGGGCCGGGGCCGCGGGGCCCACCGATATACCCGCAAACACTTTACTCTTCACCTCCTTCAGCCTACTTGGTTTCGTCTTCTCCTCCTCTTTCCCCTGAGCGATCTTATTCATCACTGCATCCCACTTCCCGTTCTTCCTCACCGTCCTATTTGGTCTCCTATTCTCCTGATTTTCATCGTCCACTTCTTTCTTCGTGGGATTGGAAGTGATCATGGTTTTAATTTTGGACACGACGTTTCTTTTGGGCATCTTATACTTTTTCACCCCCAGATCTTCCCTCTTTTTCGACGCATCTTTGACCTCAACCACAGATTTCTCTGAGAGCACGTCAGTGATGTCTGTTGTAGAGCTGACGTTGAGGAAAAGTTCTTCCTCCATGCATTCATCCACTTGCTCGTTGCTCTCTAATGCCAGGTCCGCTAGGTTCCTGACTGTATTCATTTGGTCCAGTAAGTTGGTAAAGGTGGAAGATGTGATTATAGTTTGACTCATGTCGGAGCGTATCGATGATCCTGTTCTGGTCGACCCTTCCGGAGAAAGATCTTTCTCGTTTTCGTTCGCATCGTCGATGTTTTCGTCTGGAAGGGATTTTCCACCATCGGAATTGGGATCTTCGAGTTTCCTCTCGAGGTCCGAGTAAATACCACTAGAGTCCATTTCTTCGTTGTTGGGAGTGAACACAGGACAACGGTGGTTCCCTTGGCTCGGCATGAAGGTCGGGCCTCCAGGGTTTTGTGCGCCTCCTGACACTCCGCCGTAGAGGGTTCCATCTATAACTTGTGCTCTACGATCTCCTCTGCCAGTGCCTGAGCCCGCTTGGCCGACAGCGTCGTCGTGCATGTCTGCATCACTCTCTGTGAAGAAGTCCGAGTCGGTCATGGGGTCCATGGTCTTCACCTTGTTGGCCAAAGGCGAGTGGTCGGCCCCTCTGCTGGCCGGTCGACTCCATTCTCCGTCGCCTTGGTACCCGTTGTCCAGACTAGCGATACTCGTAACTGAAGTCACGAAGCTCGTCGGGGGCGGGAGGACGTTCTTCGAGGGACCCGCCATAGCTTCTATCTTCCCGTCAACTTTATCCATTGGCAAATCTTCTAAAGAAGGAGTTCGATTGATTCTGATAAAATCCATGTTTTCACTGTTACTTACTGTTTCAGACCCCGGTTCGTACGAAACGGACATAGCTGAAGTCTTCTTCGAAGGGTTGCTATCACTCATTTCCGTATCTTCGGATAAGTCTTTCCCGATTTCGTGCTCCATCGACTCGTCTTTTATCGGGACGTCCCTGGCATCTTCTGGTTCCTTCATGACTATTTCATTTGTATACTTTTTCTCTTCAAGGCTCCCATCTCTTTTCGTTAACGTAATATTTTCAGGATGGGGTAGAGCGTTTTTCGAGACGGATGCTTCTTCACACTGCATCTCGAGAGAAGATCGCTTGGACCCCCTTCTGCGAGAGTCGTTTTCCTTGTCATAATCCAAGTCTTGGATGAGAAAGGGAACTTCCTCTGTGGAAGGTGTGCGAGGAAGAGTCGAGTTGATCGTGAAGTCCGCCATTTGGTCGGGCGTGAGGATCCCCAGACTATCATCGAATTCAAAGCTGCTGTGTTTGCTGAGTTGTAGCGATACGTGGCTGAGGTCGTGAACGGAGCTAGGACCACGTGCTGACGCTGAAGGGACCAGAGACCCGGCAGAGGAGGAGTGTTGTGACCCGATGGTCCAGTCCCAGATGAGAGCACCGTTGCTGTTTGTGCTACTAGGTGTGGGAGTAGACGCTTGACTGACAGATTTGACACTTCCGATTCTCTTGCCGGCGGGCGGAGTCGCCTCGTCTTGCAGCCAATCCTCACCCATCGAGTGCCTCTTTTGAGTAACACCTAGTAGACTATGAGGCCCTGAGTCTGAAACTTCACTAACAAACTCTTTCAACTCCTCTTGCACGAGAGCCACTTTGCTCGCGGGTATCAGAACGCCATGTAGAGGAGGACAAGTGAAGTATCTAATACCTCTTATCGATCCGTCATTGAGACCGATAGGAGCGTCAAACTCGACCCCGCACCATATTCCAGGGTCGGATTCGGTCTTCCCGAGATATCTCAAGATTCCGACTTTGTTCCCAGCTACACATACTCGCCTGCCTAAGTGCAACTGGGATATCCTGGGCTCTAGTTTGCTCACTTCAGTCAGACTGAGGGACTCTCTAGGTTGATCGGAAGATTCGAAGAAGCGCGTAGGTCTGGCAGGTCGTTCTGAGGGGCACGACTGACTAGTCGGTTGAAGGAATGTCTTGGACTTGGAGGGTTTGCCGCTGCCACTTCCTAGTATTCCGAAGAGTTGGCGATGTTTTGAGGTGGAGTCTGAAGAGAGATGAGCGCGGAATTTGTTGCTGAGGTTGGCCAGCGGGCGAGACAGGCGGGCTAGAGGCTTGGGGTTGCTGCAGAACACTGGGATCCTACTGTCCGCCGGACCCTGCAACAAGACACGACACTGTCAGCACTTTGACAACACACTTGGGGTATTTGATAGTATTTGTTTATTATGGGTAGGACGAGTTGGTCAATGTATTGAGTTTTAAGAGCACAGAGGTAAATGTGGGGACAATAAACAGGAATATTGTATGCAGTTGTCATCAAAACATACACAAACAAAAATATACAGTACACACAGCCGTTTATTGTAAATAATAAACCATGATAAAAGAATTTGAATGTTAACACAGCTGAGGTTTACAGGGATGCATTGGCTACGAATATAGCCATGTTTACTGCATTTCCATAACATTCGCAGGAAATACCATAATTATTTTTGGGCGATTACGTAGGCTACTACATCTGGTATTTTCTGATAGGAAGTAATCAAATATTTTCTAGATTAACCTCACTTACTCTTAAAAATACATCGTCAGTATAGTAACTTTCATTTCCACTAATATACAACATTAAACTTATCACAACCGCGTCCACTCATTCGTCGCTTATCATCAAAGCATGTATCACGCCATTACACCGCGGTTTCACAGCTCTTTGGCCAACAACTGAAGCACAGAATGACTTCATTGCCTCACAACGTCGCTCTGTTCCGTAGTCAAATGAGTTGTCCATCGTGATCATGAATGGCCTCAGTCAAATGTCAACGGAGGTCAACCAGAGCCCACTCCCAGTCAAGGGATCAACGAAGTCGACGTCACTTCCTAGAATAGTTCGACAATAACATCGTAACTTTCAAATTCATGTATTCTCGGCGCCGATACGCCCATGAATCGGCTCGGCTTGAAGATGTTGAATTGTGATGTATTCTCAACACGTTCGTGCCAAAAACTGACATTTGGAACGACGGAATTTGAATTTACATGACGTTCGTGGAAGGATAAACAGTCCTGAGATATGAAGGAGTTTGACAAATGGTTGGTTGTGACGTTGATGGTTTCTGTTTAAGGGGTTTTAGTTTCCACAATAACGGATGAGGCATCTGCGTGTGCTTCAGACTAATTTTTAGAACTACTGTACTTCCATACAGATCGATCTTGCTTGAAGTTATAGTAAAGTTATACTTTAAAAAAACCATCGTTGATTCAATATGCGACAGTTTGATACAAAATAAAATGTTTGTATTGTAATTTAATTGTATTCAATTAAGGTTATGTTATGCTCTATGTGGTATAATTAAGTCGATAATATTGATCAAGGTAAAGGTAATTGAGGTTAGACAGTATTTTTGTAAATATTAATAATGCACTTTAGGTTACAGGGAAAACCAAAACATTCTATTTTTGAATTTTTATGGAGAAAACATGATTTATAACAATATTATTAACTGTACGAGTTAGTATTCGCTTACTGGATGTAACAAAATAAATGTTTGTTCCATTAAATAATTCTAATTAAGTCGAGTCTGACATTATATTGGAACAAAAATAATTGAGGGTTTGTGGATGAAATAGTCGAACAAGTCCACGTCCAACCAGCACACGATTCTATACAATTCTACATGTATAACATAACTCAATCATTGACTGTTGCTGTATTGTGTTGCAAAACCGGAATAATTAAAATAAATTAAGGTAGGAAGAACTGGTTTTAAAGCTCGCCAGTAGTATTATGCAAATTAGTGTGTGTCTCCTTGTAACTTTTACTGAATGATGCAACTTTTCAGAATTAGGTCCAAACTGTAACGTAAGAGATTCATTTCGAATACTGAAATTAAACGAGGCAAATCTGCAAGTATCATATCAGTGCTAAGGGCAGTTTGGTTACGAAAGTACAAAGGTAAGTATGTTTAGCATGTCATTCTAATAAACAATATATACAATCCAATATTATACACAATATATACAATATATAAACAATAATAATCTATCCAATATTTTAAACTGTACCCGTTATTACACTTAGAACGCTTTGTAAGCAACGCTATACAACACTAACAATACAGCTGTTGAATATGTATGTTTATAATGGTAAGTGATAATTTTCGAGAGTGGCACACCTGGCGGTCTCCGCGGGAACTATGATAATTGGCGCCAATCACGTGTAGACAATGGCTAATGAAATCGTCAAAGCCTCCGCTAGTTGTGACAAAACATCTTCTCTACGTACAAAACATGCAGACTGAGAGTGGAACCCAACTCCTTCTAGCTAGGACTGTCGTAGGACTCCGGGCTCCTATACCGTGTCGTAACACTTCGGCCCAGTAACATTTCGGTCCGAAATCCTCAGATGTGGCCTACGGTCCTACTCTCTACCTGCTCACTAGTAACACTTCGTCACAAAAAATATTTAATAGGTTTTTAGTAACTATTTGGGGGTATAGTAAAAAAAACTAACAACACTTAAAATCTATAAAAAGGCATTAGATTTAAAACTGACTCACCACGAACCGCGTTAGGTTAGGTTAGGTCAGGTCAGGTTCTAGTATCAGTATCCAATAGTCAATACTAGTAGGCTGCAAAGTATACGTATACAGGTTATGAGCCTCTTACTACCTAAACTGCGTTCCTAAACCCTTAGCAATTTTCCGACGGGCCGAAATGTTACTCCATTAGCTCATTTAATCAACTAAAAAGGCGAGTGGGGCGAAGTGTTACTGTTTTTCTCAGAAATTCTAGTTTGGCCAAAATTTTCCTGGGCCGAAGTGTTACTACATCTAATCTATGGGTTCATCCAACGCATATGACAGAGAGCAGAGCCACACTATGTGATTGTATCACATCGCTCTCCCTGGTCATTGCACTACGATGGAACTGCTTCAAACACCTGCAACTACCGCGTTCCTTGACTGTCACTGTCAATGCAGACCGGTCCACGGTTCCAGGAACTGCAACTGCTACTGCAACTGCAGCTGTCACTTGTTGCAATGTTGCAACCACAACGCTACCTGCAGACAGCAGACGTGATCACTGAGAATCGAGGAAACTTTCTCTCTGCGGATTGCTGAGTCAATACGATGACAAAAGTGGTCAACGTAGCGTCGTTGTGTTTTATTTTGAAATAATAGTAATTCGTGCCACGCCATCAAAATTAGAAATGAAAGGGAATGAAATTGTTCTCTGATAAAAGTAAAAACCCTCACTGATTGATTGACTAATTCTCCAACTTCCAGACTAGCTAGAAGGCTGAAATTTCGTATACTCATTATTCAGGTCAAATAAGGAAAGTTAAACCGTTTTCATCATGATTTTACTAAAGGGATGCACCCCACAAGCCCTTAAAGGGCTGCAATTTCCCTTACGTCCTACACTCATTCGAATGAATAGATCGAGTGTCGATTGTTTCATTCGATATATCGTTTGGTTAGTTAGGTTAGGTTAACCTTACCTAACTAACTAAACTATATAACTTATCGAATAATCAATATATCGATCGATTTTTTTATTCGAATGAGTGTAGGACGTAAAGTGCAGCCCATTTTTATTTATAACATCTGCCACAAATTGTTTTATTTGTTTATTTTACTATAAAGATTGAAATATTCTAGGTTAAGCTGTTAAGCAAAACCACCGTAAACTTCTAAAGTGTTGTTTGTTTTGACTATCTATTATTACTGTTGTGTGGTTGGCTTTGTTTTACTTCTACTTGACCTCCCAAGTGTATTTTCAATTGTTAGACTCGGTTGCTATGAATAAATTTCAGTTGGATCATGATAATGGTACAGCCTAACCATCTAACACTAATAATTCCTGACGAAAATCTGTGTGCACTAGAGTGAAGACAATGTTGGAAGTAAGTCATCCATGGTTGGTGAGCCACAGTCGATAACAGACGTAGACACATAAAACACATTACAGAGGCGACCAAGCATGTCGACGCGACGACTAGGAAAGTGTTAGTGAGTTAACGTTACCGTTTAATTAGATTACTTGTTTAAATTCCAATAAACCAACCCATTCCACTTCAGGAAATAATGAGAACAAAATAGATTGGCCAAAATATAACCTTTTTACCACCATTTAGGAGTAGAAAAAATCTAGTAAAAAATTACATATATAAATAAAGTCATAATGTTAAAGTACAATAATTTTACGGCACAATTCTTTGAGCAAATAAAGAACATTAACATTATCTGTAAAGGCAAATCTAAGAAGAAGAGGTTTTGGATCCATGCCATAGTTTTCATGGATCTTGGGTCAATATTCAGTTCTGTAAGAAACCCCTTTAAACAATATAATAGGCTACTACTCTAACCTACACCTTTGTGTTTGGATGAAAGTATACATGTTTGCTGTATAATTTAAACAGAGTAAAAACGTAACAGGCGATACATAATGTAAAAAAAATAAGTCCATTGGCAGTAAACCTGCGGTACAAGCAAATTTTTGTCGCTTTATGTTTTTAAAACAGGCCAAAAATTGCAGGAAACGTACTCCAATATCAGCGTTCAAATTCCGTTTCACTAATTCTAGATGAAAGCATTTACATTTCATTCCAAGAGACAATTATTCATTGTGTGTTGGAAAAGTACAAAACGCATTACAGTACAGCAGTTAAAAAGCTCTCGGTTACACCTTCATTCTACATACGGTAAATGGCAAAGCACAGAGACTGTCGACCTTTCCAATGGCTACACAACCACAACATGGTGGTGAATTGATCAATTAACTCTTGTGTAAGAAGCATCCACCAGAACAAATTATAGTAATGGCATTGTAATCACTTTACGCAGCAGAACGTTTGGTGTTCTGGGGTAATTGAACGCAACAAAGATTTACGAATGTGCAACCTTAGTGCATCCCGTATCATTCAAGATGCAACTATACTTTATTGTGCTTGGTTGTGCTTGAATGTTTCCAACATCTACGTTTTATGAATTTCTGTGTGCCTTTGCATCACAATCTATTGGACCAAATCAGCTGAAATCTTTCACAAAGATAACCTACAAATAGGTGATAATTTTTTTTTATAATGAATGTTTGCGTAATTTTTGCTTTAACTATAGAAAGTAGGAATATTATATTCGTCTAGAATAGTCCAGGC